CTTGCTTAAAATATTGATATTAATGAAAATTAATTTATACAATATTTATACATAAATTAATGCTGAATACTTCTTTTTCCAAAATTAGTTCTGATATTTTTAAATGTATACGGACACAAGACTACAACTTACTTTAGGCATTTTTAAGTTCACCTCTGCACAATCGGATGACAAATATAACTAAATTACTAAATTACAATAGTGGATGGTAAGAGACGGGTGTATTTCACCGAATTAAGATTAACCAAGTAGTTATATTTCTGGTAAATGCATCCAAACAAGGGGCAATAGACCTTTAAGCGATAATGTAAGTAAATTTCACTTGGAAATTTATCAGAGGAGAAAACCTCACTTAAAACCGTTATATACTTATGAATAGATCAAATATATGCCACTTTAGACAGACTGACAGACAAACAGTTAAATTTACTGATGTTTTCAAAAACTTGCAATCGTCTTTTGTTTTCGAAAATTTCGAGTTTTGACTACATGTCCATATCTTTAGAAACATTAGAAAAGCAACTATTATGTTCTTCAGAGACATTTTTAGATAAAATGCAGTGGCGTAGGAAAAAATTAAAAAAAAAAACATCTCTTTTCGGGTTAATTAACTATGCTCTGGTCAAAAAAATATTTTTTTCCTCTTTCAAAAAATATATAGGTAATATGTGGGGTGGCGTTCGTTGGGTAAACATTTAATTACGAAAATAATCTTTTGGTAGTTTATCCCTTGCATTTTTCAAATTAGTTTCTAGTAGGAGTTTGACACATATATGATAGTGATCACCCGTTGGTTACTTCAATACTTCAAAGATCGATTCTTCATTCATACATTAGCAATGCTAGAATTTTCCAGCAACAGCAAGCACTACTGGTGCGATAACAACTCTCATTGTATCGTTGACGTTAGATTTCACGGAGGGTTTTGTTTCAGTGTTTGGTGTGTTCTAGCTGGCAATCGTTTTAAGTTTTAACTTATCACCTGTATCAAAAACATTTTAATGGCCAACGGTACAGTAACATCTTAGACCAGCATATTGTTAAGGAATTTATACAAAATGGACTATTACATAAACCAAATAACAAGTTATTTCAGCAAGATGACGCATCTCCTCGTAATACCAAAGCCGTTTCGGGATTATTAAACATCAATTTCCAATCGGATAGGAGGTAGTAGAAAAGTGAGGCCACCTCCATGATCACTGGACTTCTTCTTTTAGGGGCATATTATGAATATATTATACAAAACAATCAATAACAATTTGAATGAATTAGTAGCAAGACCAAATTTCATATAATGTGTCAATTAAGTTTCAAATATTCACATTCATAATGCTGTTCGGATTATCATATTAGTGACACCTAATTTATCTATTAGAATTAATTTGAATATTTACTTTAATTGACGTTATATTAATTATTATTAGATACTAGTTCTTTGTTCGTTTATAAATACCATGAACGCTTAAGTTTTCTTTTATTCTTTCTATATAACTGTTGAATTGTTTCTGCTATCACACCAAAATTGTTATTGTTTTAAATAGTACATTCGAAAATGTCGAACTTTTCGTAATTTTTCATAAGCCATTTTACAGAAATTAATGAGTAAAACTCAAATTAACACCACACACTTTAAAATGACCAACGAATAGTAGATGATAGACTCTACTAGGAATTAATGTGAAAAAAGCAAAGGATAAACTACCAAAGGATTATTTTCGTAATTAAATACTCACCCATCGAATGCACCCCACATATTATATATTTTTTAAAAGAGGAAAAATTTTTAACTAAAGGAAAGTCAAATATTAATATAAATAGTCATAGATGATGAGACCCATAATATAATTAAACGTTTTAGAGAAGTAGGGTATAGTAGTAGTAATATAAGAAAAGAGGGCAGGGGTCATTTTGATAAAAAATGAGGAAACGGCAGACAGATGGAAAGAATACTTAGAGAACCTATACGCAGGCCTTGAGTTAGAAGATATACCAAAGAAGAAAGATAATGTGGAGATAGGTAAGCTAGGTTATCCCATAATAAAAGAAAAGTTTGATGTAGCATTAAGAAACTTAAAAGATAATAAGGCGCCAGGTATAGATGGGATGATATTTTAAAATATGCAAGTCAAAAGGTTAGAGATCATATGTTTAAGCTAGTTAGTCACATTTACGAGACGGTGAAAGTTCCGGAGGATTATAAACGGAACGTGATAGTAAGAATACCGAAAAAGTGAGGCGCGGATAGGTGCGAGACTTTCGGAACAATTAACTTAACTTCTCATTCGTAGAAAAAATAACTAGAATTGTGCAGAGAAGAATGGAAAAAAGGGCTGAAGATCTTTTAGTGCAAGATCAATTTGGGTTTACAAGAAATAGAGGAACGCGGGAGGTCATTCTAGATTTACGGGTAACAATAAAGAAAACGATAGAAAAAAGAAAGAGTTCGTATATAGAATTCGTAGATTTAGAAAAAGCTTTTGACAATGTTAAATGGAACAAGATGCTAAATATACTTCAAAATGTAGGTATGAGTTACAAAGATAGAACAGTGATACTATGTTTGTATAAAGAGCAACAGGCAGTTGTAGAGCTGGAGCAGCAAGGTACAGAAGTAAATATTAGGAAGGGAGCGAGACAAGGATGCACACCGTCACCGCTACTTCTTAATCTGTACATCGAAGACGCATCAATAAAGACAGTACAACTGTAGCGATAGATATACAGCGGCAAGAGATTAGTGTGCTTAGATTTGCAGATGATATAGTAACATTAGCAGCTGGCAAGGAAGAGTTTAGAAGTATAGCTTTAAATAAAATGGAAGTGGTATTAACAAAACAGTATTCTATAAAAATAAATAAAAGTAAAGTAAAAATACCGATATGCAAGGGAAGAAAAAGTAGGGAAAGAGCGAATATAAAGATAGAAGACGAAAAATTAGAAGTGACTGATTTTTGGTATCTACGAAGTCAGATAAATCAGGATCGGAAGGAGTAGCGATATAAAGCAGAAGATAGCGCTAGGGTCGAGTCGCCTTCAATAAAAGAAGGCATTTCTATGCTCGCGAACAGTTTAGAAATTCGAAAAAGTTTGTTAAAGGTGAATGTTTGGAGCGCGGCGCTGTACGGAGTGAAACATACCGTGGATAGAGAATGTTAGAAGTGAAGAGGTATTAGGCAGAATAGAACACAAGACTCTACGGAAGTCAATAAAAATTAGGAGGAATAAATTGGTAGGACACCTCAGGCATAAAGGACTAGTCAGAGACATATTAGAAGCAGAAACAGGAGTTAGGAGGGGTAGAGGTATAGCTAGATTATATTACTGTTCACAAATAATTAAGGATGTGGGATGTTCTAGTTTTAGGGAAATGCGGATATTAGCTCAGGAAAGGAAAGGTGCCTGTCTAACCAGTCTTAGGACTGACGACCTTATGATGATGATAATCCATGAAGGTCGCTTAAGTAAGCTGTAGCAAACCACTACCCATTGTACGAATACGTCATACGTTAAGATGACAGTAAGATAACTTCAGCAAGCATTTTATTAAGTTAGATAATGATCTTGAGCATCTCGAGTAATAATTATAATAATTTTCTGTGTACCAGATGTATTTTTTTGCATAGAGCTTTGCTTGTCTAATTAAATAAATAATATAAAATAATATCAGCATAGTATATTTTTATTGTTTCAGGTCGGTTTACCTATCATGAATATATTTATCTGAGGGACAAAAAATTGAGCAAAATTAATAATATATCTTTTGTTTAACTATTCTTATATATATTACCGAAGTTGAAACAGAACATACAAATTAGTTTTTTACTTTCTTAAACAAGCATAACTGAATTCTTATTCACGTAAATCCAATATTAGTTTTTAAACCTATATTGAATGCTCATTTTAAAATTTTAAATATAAATTAAACCCCAAATAAAAAATTATTCGATAACACGATAATTAATTATGCGAATTTTATTGCCAACTTTAATTTTATTATAAAACTGATCGATGAATTGTTTTAAAGTGACACCAAAAAACAAGGCCGCTCCCATAACGACCTTGCTTAGAAACTTTTGCTTTTATGTTGAATGACTCTCCGGGGCATTGTTCCGGTTATAGGAGGAAAGACAACTTTCTAAGTCGGCACGTGAGCGTAAGCGACAACAATTCTAAAGCATAGAAAAAAAATACAAGAACACGTAAACCAATTACTGCGTTAAAACGTTTTAAAAAATCGAATTACGCTACAATTTAAAAGATTCATTACCCTAATTGATCTTTTCTTTCTTTCAATTGTTTAATAAATTCCAGTTACAAATGAAAGCAAAAACTATTAAATGAAAATGGTTTCGTTCTAGACCATTACAGCAATTGAAAATTAAGTAGCTTAAATTGCTGAAAAATAGTTACTAACGATTAATAAAAAGTAAAAATGTAATTCCGATATTCCAAGCGTCTTAATTAATTTACTTTTGAAAACTTAAAGTTAATTGAACGTACTGATTAAAGTAGGTAGTAGTTTAATTACATACACTAACATTTATCATATTATTGTATGTTTTTAAAGTCCACTTTTTTGATAAAACAGTTTCCCTCATCATTTCAACAGGTTTTCTAAATAATTTGGACTAGCAAACCAACGTTTTTCATTAGCTCCAAGCATTTTTGTTGTATGCCAGTTTGCCAACCTAGTGCAACCAATAATTACAGATTTATGTATTTCTTTATACGCAAGTTTATTCACAAACTTTATGAAATCACCAATAACACTCAAATTTTGAAAACTTAAATGTCGTTTTTGAAAAAGTTCAAATTTACAAAATGCCTTAACATAAAGACGTAAACCTTAATAAAAGCGAAAAATCAAAAGCCAAAACTGTAAATCATTGCGGCGTCCTTAAGACAAATTAAACAACGTATGATAAAAAATTATACACATTACTAAAGCGTAGAAAATTTTAAACTGTTAAACTATGTTTATAATCTAGGTAACTTACTGAGATATTGTAGAGAAAACATCAACAAAAATCCAATCAAAATGGCAAGAAGTTGACAAACACCATTGTGCTTATTTCCTCTTTCTCGAGCCAAAACTTCAAAAAAGACCACATAGAGAAGGGTGCCAGCTGCCATACCTTGAAGGATAACTGACGTGACGTTCTCTTCGGAATTTTGCGTTTTACTAAGTATTATCCCTATTCCAATACCTGGGAAAAGCCTTAAGTATTTTATTAAATAAACAACACAGAAAATTTTTAAAAGTACATTGAAGATTTGGAATTTAAATAAGTTTTTGTTTAAAGCTTACAGCATAGAGCTATTAAAACAAAGTAATTTGTAGACAATTAACTGTATTTATGTTTTAACTTACCCAATGGTGTAACTAAAGCAAATGTTCCAATATAAAGAAGAAGTAAGGCAAGTTTCGTCTTTGATACTACCAATTCCACCCCGACACAGAACGCTATTACCAATTTATGAGTTGCTATTGCAGCGAATAGATACCACACTTTTTGTAGATTATTTTCTAGTCCGACAGCTAGACCTTCAAATACTGCATGAAAACTAAGAGCCAAAACAGCTAACAGACTTCTAAACGGGTTTGAAAAATGTACATGGTCGTAATGGGTCTCTTCCAGTACCATTTTGTTCGCTCCTAACACATCCAAAGTTGTTTGTGAATTTAGAAGCTCCTTAGTGGAATTACTGCTCACAAAACTTATTCCATTTTCCTCAAGTTTATTCAAGTTTACACGAGGGATTGTAAGATTGCCATTTTTTAGGCACTTCACAGATAGAGATCTATGCAAAACATCATCATGAGGTTTCCTGTCCAAAACTAAATGAACTGCTTCCTCCACAAGATACACGAAAAAGAATCCTATACAAAATACCAGCTCCGATAATGGAATATCATGTCCAATATTAGGAATCTTTTTTTGAGACTGCAAAATTTCCATGGACGATCTAACCTCCGGTTGTAAATGAATGAAAGTAGTAAATAACAAAACACCGCCTCCAAAACAGAGCAGCAATGAAATGAACAAGTTTTTATCTGTATTGTTTTTATTTACATTTGCAAATTTAGTAAGTTTAATGGGTAGTAGTCCCAAAAGGAATGAACCTATCCCCAACACGCCCATAGCTATAAATTTAGCCAACATAAGATTATTGGTCTTGGTTTGATGGTTGGAGTATTCATTGAGCGGACGATAAGTATGATCCGCCATTTTTAAATTAGTAGAAATTTAAGTTGTTGGATGTTCTTGAATAACCTAGAACAATGTATACTAATAAAACTAAATTTACATCATTAAAAATTTATAGTAATAAAACGAAACGTGCTCAATGGTTTGTCTAGAAAAAATTATTATGGAAAGTCATATTTTTATGATACAGTTACTGGAAATAATGAACTAGCATTAACTATAAAGAAAAGTGAATGGGTAACCGATAGTTAGTAGAAACTGGTATTTCTAGAAACTGCTCGCAACTATAGAACTGTCCATTTGCGATATATATCTAATTATGGATGAAAATTTCTCAAATAATGATGCATATAAGTACGTCATGATTAAACTTTGATTCATATGTTTCAGTTAAATATTTTTTAATATTATTACCCATTTTCAGAATTTTATATACCATAGATATATTATGTACTGGTAAATTGCCCGTAACACTTTTCAACGGCAAAAGTTTCGTTTAATACTATTTTAACATTATCGCCCATTCTTCAGAGGGTTGTACATATTCAACATTAACTGCGACTGTCACTGATAGTGCACGTTTATCGTTCTTTTGTTATGTTCACATCTACCTTGTCGTTATTATTTCAAGTCCTATGCATGTCTAACTCTAAATTCTAAATAAAGGTGTTCACTGTACAGGTAGTAATAAATCTGTTTGATGGTTTCAATATATATATATATATGCACCTATGTAATGGTTCAATCAACACGTTACAAAACATACATACAAAATATAATTCAAATTAGAAATGGTGACTTTAACGCAGTGTATTTTCAAAATAAGCCTTTTTTTTCAAGCCCTTCAAATAAAACAAACGCAAAGTTTTACTAATTTTTAATCCAACTCGATCAATTTGTTTCGGCCGATACGACCGTTTGAAAGAGTATATATGTGTGTAATCCGTCATTGAATACAATTCCTGGGAAATGTATATAATTCCTAAAATCGCCCGAATATGTGTGAAATAAATTATATTAAACACATTTCCTAGGAAATCTATACATTTCCTAAATAGCAATCGGAAATGTATTACATTTACATTTAGAGATAGCGAAGTAAGGGGAGGACACTAGAACCGCGTATTCCTAGATAACTCTGATTCTCAGTTTACTAAGGTGTTTTATTCATTTTATTCACAGAAAGTATTAGTTTTATACATTTCCTAGTACAATTTCGGAATTTCATACAATTCCTAGGAAATGTATACATTTCCCAGGGTGTGTGTGTTTGAAACAATATTTTATAAATTTCCGAAATAGCCTCGGAATTGTATACAATTCCTAGATTTTATACATTTCCGGTAACATATACAAAGAATTAAAAATTACTGAAACTTGCCTTGAAAGTGCTTAAAATAACAATGCAGCTTCACAAAAATTACACCACAAATAGTTTAAGTTAGACCTAGATTAGATTACTGTTCGCAAATAATTAAGCATGTGGGTTGTTCTAGTTTTAGGGAAATGCGAAGATTAGCTGAGGATAGGAAAGTGTGGAAGTACGTGTCCGACCAGTCTTAGGACTGACGACCTTATGATGATAAGCCATTTTTTCCCAATTCAATATCTTACTATGTTATTTTCCAATTAATAAAAAACAAAATGCTATAACGGTAATTATAAAAATAAACAATGAATGTTTTAAAGATATATGTACATATATCTAAAAATAATATTACTTCGCAAATATGAAATTGACCCAATTTTTGACGGATGAGTACTAATCAGAAATTGTAGAATAAAAAAATAATAAAAAGTGGTAGTTTAGCATTTCTAGCACTACAAAGATTATCCTCAATTTTATTTATTAAAATTAAAAATCATGCGGCACACATTTTAATTAGAATTTGTTGATTTCATATAGTGACCCCTTTTTCTTTTTATTTGCTAATCAGAACATATTATCATGAAGGAGACTTGGACCATTAGATGATATATATTGTTGTCGATTGCTAAAACAAATAACAACAGTTTACCGCCAATTAACTTTAGTTATTGGATAACTTTCGGAAGCAACGAAATATTAATTCCTAAAGTTATACTAGAAATTAAAAAGACTGGAGATTTAATACATTAGGACTCATGTTTATCACATGTTTCGTTTGAGGGTTGTTTCCACCAGTAATCATTGCAAAATTTAGATAATTTTGTACAGTTTCTGACCTAATTTTCTGCTCTAGATAAAAAAAATGTATGTACTAGTTAATAAGTAACAGCAAAACTTACTATCGAATGTTTCAACTACAATTATTTCGCAAAAAAAATTTAAGCATGTATACACTTCGATGTAGTTTTCGTTTCCTTGTTTACAGAAATAATGATTATATATACATTACATATTTTGTTAACTCATTGTTGCTTACTTATTTTTACTCTAAGTAAATATTTACCACCACTACTTCTCGGTCTCGCTTAAAGTTTCTTCAATAAAAAACTTCAAAAATCATTACAATCGAAGTTCTCTAACTGGAACCTCTATAACTTAAAATTATTTCTAACTCGGATATCTTTTTTTCCTTGCCATACATATTGTTTTACATTTATTACAAACTCTTTAACTCGAATTTTTCTTCGAGTTTCTACTGATTTTTTTGAAAAAAACCAACAGCAGCAATACTCAGTGGTTGGTTCGAGTTTTTAAACAAACTATTTCTACCATAAGTTTTCAATGCGACACTCAATATTAGATATATAGAAAACAGCAAAAAAAAAGCAAAAATCACACGGCTACGGCAGAAAAAACAAGGATTATTGGAGGTAGACATAACAACAGTAATGTTTTCGAAACAAAAATTAAAAATGGAACACATTACAAATTTAAAAAGTTTCACGGTAAAGCAGAAAATTCCTTGATTGAATCCTTTCCAACTGGTTGCATTTAAGAAGTTCGAGTTAGGGATGTTTGACAGTATAGTATTTGGAACATAATCGTGCCTGTGCACCTCACTTTTTATCTTATTTCATTATAACTGTCCAATCCCGATTTTACAACTTTGCAATTTTTTAATGGCTTTTACATGTAGTTTGTCTACGTAACGTTTCGCAATAGAATAAACAAATGCTTAATAATTATGACGTTAGCATGTGCTCTCTTTTATTTTTGCTTTCTTATTGATAAATACTGTTAACCTAATTCTGAAAAATATATTTAATATAGAACGTGAATAGTTCAAGTAAACATTCAAATTTTTATACAAACAAAGTACGTACAAGATAAATGTCACGAAGCATTAAGTCAATTAAGGACGTACATACGCATTATGCATTACATCTAACATTAAAATTTTAGTTGATTGAGAAATAAGATATTTTATCAATGAGTAAATAACATATTATGTGCTTTATAACACAAAACTTTGTACACAAATATATATTTTAGATGAATTACTCGCAATTTAAGAATATTACTGTTACGCGAGATATAATCCGTGAATGTTTTACGTTTTAACTGTACCAAAAGGTCGATTGCAAAACCGGTAAAATATCTGTAAGTCTTTGAATCGAAAAACTTGGTTCTTAAGCAGTAGAGGTACCAAATCAATGACTTCAGCCTAACACTTTAAATATACCTGTTACATGCATTGTTGAACAGATTAGAAATATTTTTACATTTTTGTAGTTTCCAGATATATTAATAGCTTTCAATACTTCATAATTTAATATTTTCATAGTTAGATATTAGGTATATACAAAATAGAACAAAAGGTTGTGACGATAACTACTAAAATATATTGTTATATTAATTTAGAAAATTCTTTATCGCACAGAGAAACATATACTGTACTTTGAACTACAAATTAAATTATATACTCTAATATCGTTTACAAAACTACGAGTAAGATTTTCTTGTTCTACGTATATTTGTATGTATGTACTTTCAACGTTAGCTACGTAAAATCATGAACAATTGTGAATTTTATACTATTATAGATTTTAAAAATATCTAAATGACAAATAAATATCTTTTAGTACCATACCAATAAGGCATAACCTTTAGACCATATCCTAGAAGAATTACGAAAGTAGCCGTACAACTCTAGGTCAAATATTTTAAATAATTGTATTACACGGTTATCGCATAGTCGAAAAATTAAGCAGGTATAAATTTTTCACTTATTTGTGGTTGTGGTATCAAAATTGTACTGCTGCCAAGATTTTTTTAACAAGCGCAAGTTATTTTTCTTTATTTCATGGAATAACGTAGCTATTAACAGATATATCTTTACAGCTGCTTTATTATAACGACTGTAACAATATTTTTATTTTTGGTTTGTCTAGTAATTTCGGTAAAAAACGAACGACAAAACTTCTGTGGATAGCTAATTGTTGGTATGTGTGCATACGAAGTTTTAATATCCGTTAAATTGAGAAAACATGGGCGTAACAATATTTGAAAGTTGAATGACAAGATAATAATACTGAAATCCTCCGAGACCTTCGAAAACACCTTTACTTTTGCAGTAGGTAACGGAATTGTAACACAATAATGAATGGCAATTACCAATGAAACCTAAAACCTTGGCAATCATATTTTGATGTACTGACCAATTACTTTTATGTACGTTTCACAACCGATTTCATTTCTGTAATTTGATTCATTAAATGTTATTTCATAACGATACGGCTAATTTGAATAATTATATTCTCCTAAAAAGTGATTAATACACCCATAAAAACAATATATTACGTTATAACCGAAACGTTTGAACTTGGTACCTACATGTTATAAATTTAAAAAACTAATATGTGCCTAAAAATGTACCAATATTGATGAAATGTACTAGTAAACAATCCTAAAGCAACAATAAAAAAACAGAAATAGAAAAGAACTTACAGTGCAGATTATATTATTGTAATCCTCTTCTTAATAATTTAATGAGGTTTATGAACTCTGTTCATCATTTTTATCGCGTCGAATAAAATGTTAACGATAATATAAAACTAATCAAAAACGAATAATTAAGTATGCATTATAACACCTCCTTAAAGGCGGCACATTTTTTAGATGTACGAAGAAGGCAAGCTGACGAGTAGACAGCTCAATAAGAACTGTTATTACCACAACTGAAGCACTACCTACAGTCACTTCTAGACACAACGGATTAATAACTACTTACTAAACCGGGGAAGTGGTAGCTACAGAATAATATCCTACCTATTATATGAAGAAACAAGTTGTTGCGTTGAAAGTCTGGTCGTTGTCTTTCAATTATATACAACATAAATTATATCCTATTGGTTTTAACTGAATTCGTTTACAAATATAATTTGGAAAGCAACAGTTTTCATATTTTTCATTTGAAATATTATACAATAAAATTAGTAAAAAAAGTTTCCTTTATTGCTATATTAACTTTTAAAGTATTTAAATTATAGATATTCTAATTAGTATCCAATAGTTTAGATCTACTACTTAAAAGCACTTAAAAATGATATCAGACATAAAGCAAGTTTATATTAAAACTTATCTTCAGGTATGTTATTTACGTATTTACAATTTCAATTAAAAGTTAATTGAAAAAACGTATCATATCACCAGATTAATTACATAATCAACTATAACATGTTAGATATGTACGTATGTAAGTTTCATTGTTCATACTATTTCAAAACTTCATGGTTATATTTTAACTGAACTTTAGATTAAACCTATCTCTTTCTCCTACGATAGGAAAAGATCATAACACGAAGTTTAACTTCTGGGATAGAAGTTGATCTGAATCGATATATCTCTCCATCTACCACTTCACTCTATTATGCCAATTATTATGCCGATTTAATATCACACATCTACACAGATTAAGGATTAAAATTTTGCTAATATTTTTACTCTTTTTTCTTTATACAACTGCTACTGCATTGAGAGAAACTAAGTGGGTAATTTCTTCTTTAAACAGAAGAAAGATTGGCGAAAACGAATACTGGTAACTTACCCGACAAAAATAAATACCAATTGTCGATCAACCGAGAAATAAGGTAAAACAATGCAGTTAACCGCTTTTTAAATGCAGTCCAAATTAATGTGAAATATGTGCAATGTACATGCACGATTTAAGTACTTGATTAAAAATTGTATTCTGTTTCGTATAGTAAAAATCACAAAATAAATACAGTGTGAGTAATTTATATTGAGACAAAGAAATTCCTTAAATGGGTCTCATTAACAAAAGTTGTTTCCTTTCTAAAGTGAAAATAGCTGATGACCTTCGCGATTGTTTGCTGATCAAGTCATTTTTTTTTAATAAAAAAGCAATCTCATAACTCGAAAAAGCGGAAAATTTTGTAATCAAAGGTATCCTTAAAAATATTTTTCTAGCCTGAGCTAATTTTCGCATTTCCCTAAAATTAGAACATCCCACATCCTTAACTATTTGCGAATAATAATCTATTCTAGACCTACCTCTACTCCTGTTAATTACAGTATTTCTGCCTCTAATATGTCTCCGACTAAACCTTCATGCCTGAGAACGTGTCCTACCAACCTATTCCGCCTATTTCTTATTGATTTTTATAGAGTTCTCTGTTCTCCTATTCTTTCTAATACCTCCTCATCTCTAATCTCCTCGATCCACAGTATCTTCATCATTTTGCTGTAACACCACATTTCGAACGTTTCTAACCTTTTCTTTTCCGCCGCATCCTCCGTCCATGTTTTACACCCGTACAGCGCCGCGCTCCAAACATATACCTTTAAGAACCCTTTTCGAATTTCTAAATTAACCGTTTGCGAACATAGAAGTGACTTCCTTTTATTCGAGGCGACTCGACCTGCGCTATCCTCTGCTTTATATCCCTACCACTCCTTCCGTCCTGACTTATCTGACTTCTTCTAATCTTTCGTCTCCTGTCTTTGTATTTTCTCTTTCCCTACTTTTTCATACAGTACTGTTTTGTCAATACCGCTTGCATTTCATTTAAAGCTATCTCTAACTCATTCTTGCTAGATGCCGATACTGCTATATCATTCTTCGTGTCGAAGTAATAAAACACTTTCTTTTTGTTGTTTAATTATAGGAAATATACTTTAAAGACCTTTGTAATATAGGGCAAAATTATAAATCTATTGATGATGATAAATGATGAAATGAATGGGTGCGTACTGTTTGATACGCAACTAGTCACTCGTCACTTGTATTGGTGCATAGTGCGCATACTACTGATTTAACATAAAAATGGCAAACAGGTAGTAAATGGCGAAGATATACGGTTTTGCATCTTGTCCAGAAGTGTTGTGACATCTGACTTATGTTTTGAAATCATGCCAGTGGCGTCAATTGAGTATCTTACATGTCAGATCATCGAATTTCTGTCAGCGGTTGGCCAATGATGAAGTATCCAAACGTCAGAGAGCTCAGGTCGTTGGGGTCGCCTGGCGAAGGGTACAATGGCCGGGAGTTGAGGATTGTCTCGATTTGGATTAGTAAAGTATAATACTCTTCGTATGTGAGAACAATGTTGTTTAATATGCGTCATAAATGATGTTTAACCGCCTTTACGGCTGCGTCCCACAAACTGCCAAAGTTAGGGGAAGGCGCAGGTATAAAATGCCACTTAATTTCCTGTTCTTGCAAATAATTTTGAAATGGTGTATCTTGCAACGGCTCCTGCAATGCTTTGTTTATCTCTAACAACTCGTTATTGGTGCCCACAAAATATGTAACAATATCCGAAAAAATATTTTTATATAAAACGCGTTTTGCAACGAAACGTTTCAGAGAATTCATGAATATTTGGGTACATAAGTCCGAAACTAGGTGGCCATGCAAACAAAAATGTAAATATAAGCTTCAATAATATTCCGATTGCGAATCCGTCCATCTTTAATATACACTGGACCAGCGAAATTGATTCCAGTATTGGCAAATGACCAACAGCATGTTACGTGACTTTCTGGTAAGTCACCCATTTGCTAAGAAATTGTTAATGGTTTGGTCGTAAAACAAACGATACATTTACGAATAATTGAGCTAACTATGGACCTACCATTTAGTGGTCAATAGCGCAAACGTATATGTGATAGGGTTGTTTGTATACCACTATGAAGTATTTTTTCTTGATGATGGTGAATAAGTGAGTGAATTTAGTTTGATTTTTTGACTGGTAATACTATTGGGTGTTTTTGATCATAAGCAAGGAATTAATGCTTTAATATATCATCAATGCGATTGTCTATGAAAGGATTTAATGTGCTTAAAGTACTGGTAACCTTGACTCTGCTTTTATTTTTAGGAGACTGAATTTCATGAAAAAATGATTGTGATTGTACTAATCTTATGAGAATTTGTATGTCTTCAAGAGTTAAACAATCCTTGCTATGCGATTCACGCATAATCGTACAATTTCTTGCAAAGCGCAGGCAGTAAGCAATGACAAAAATTAGTTTTGTAAAATTTAAAATTTGTTAAAGATGTCAAACTGTTTGGTGCAAGTTAAATAAAATTGAATTGTTGATTTAGATTTGTATTCGATAATTTCTGAATTTCTCATGAGTATCTGTACCACGAGAGATAATGTCTGCTGGATTGCTTTTTGATCTGATGTGATGCCAGTTGTTTGCATTACATAATTGTTGAATTTCTGAAATTCTATTGCTGACAAAGTGCTAGGTTCAGCTGACAACCAACACAGTACAATAGTCGGAGTCTGTCCAATAAAAAATGTTTGATATTTATACTTCTAATGCTTGCATGACCTTGTTCATGAGTTTCGATAAAAGTTAAGCACCACATAATTCTTGATAGGGAAATAGACTTAAGAGGACACACGATTTTGTGCAAAGTAAATTTGACATTTTGTTGCCGTTGTGATCCTGACTCCGAATGTATATACAGCATCCGTAGGATAATTGAAACCCGCCCAAAAAACTGTGTAAGTGAATGTTGGTTTGATTTGAAATGCCAACATGACGTGGTTTATATATGGACTCAACTTTGCTTAACTGCTGATGGAAATTTTGCCAACTTACAAATAAATCGGTAGCTATGGCTTCATCATACTCTAATCGTAACTGTCACAATTTCTGTAAAATGAATATGGCTTGAATTATCATGGGACCGAATAATCCCAACTGATCAAAGATCTGTGAAATACACGAAAGTACACTCAGAAAAATACTGCAAGAAAAATTACTATAACGTTGTAGAGGTAGTGTTGCGGCTTCAATTAATAATTGTATATATGCATAATCAATTTTGTTAGGGTTGTAATTTTTGTAAATATTTAATTTTGTTCGTATTTTTAGATAGTCAACACTTTGTATTTTATTCTAGTTGTATTCAATTTTAATGTATTTATTTCTGTAGGTATAGATAAATATTAGTTTCTTAGAATAGGTAATGCAGCAATTTTAACGAAGAGATCGGACCAGGTAGGTCTCACAAAACCATTCATTAATGGAAAACCCAAGTCCGTCGCTACGTCATCACTTCGGAATGTACAGATAATACCTTAGGGGTACGTAGCGACGGCGAAGGGGTAATGTGCACGATAGGCGTTGCCTATTTTGTGCCAACGTTATTTAAACAACGCGAATTCAAATTTTTAGTATTCGAAAATCAACATTCAAGCTTTAACATTCAAATCAATTCACATTCAACAACAATTCAATTATCAACCAATATTCAATATACAATAAAATAGTAAGTGTACATAGTGTATTATATTGTACAAAATAAACCAAACAAACCAAAAAAGTGATTTATTCGTCAACAAAATCCGAAAGAATATATGGGGCAGTGAGCGAATACTGCAACCACCGAACATTGTTCCTTCGAGCCGGATTTTCCGAATTTTCCGATTCCCCGATTGCCAGTATTCAGCTGTACAGGAATCTTCATTCGAGTCGATCCTTCATTGTAAGCGTAACCAGCATTCCACAGTCGAAACAAGGTAAGTGGCATTGTTTTTCCCAACCGATTCTATATTTTCCTTTTTTCCTTATTGTAAAGGAATTCTTCGTTTGTCATTGTTTCAATTTTGTGTCAATTTTAATACTAATTCAATATTATGGCGGATATAGAGAGCCTCACTAAAAGGAGAGCTATCTTGAAATCAAAATTGACTAGGGCGAAACATTTTTTAGAGTCTTTTGATCAGAGTGTTCACACAAAAGATCAATTAATTAGTA